TGCATATATTGTGTATGGGAAGGTGACCCCAAGTTTAGGGAATCTGAATCTTTAATACCAGGCTGGATGAGCACCTGCCTTCTGCTCCAGAGGAACACAGGGAAGGGCAGGGAACTCCTAACAGGGAACATCTGCCTGTTACAAAAGGCGATACTATCTCTATATGCCAAGGCTGTTTGCTATAAAAACATATTTAAAAATATAATCCCGGAAAAGGGCCATCCGTATTTAGCTGCATAAGAAATAGAGAAATGAGAATTACCTCCCCAGAAAGTCACCCTTGATTCTATATAATAAGTTGGTCAGAAATATATCTGAGAATCATTCTAGTATAACATTTTTTTCTTACTCTATCAATTAAGAAAATTAAGGTGTCCCTAGAGTGGAAGAAGGATGTTCTGTCGATTCTTTTGTGGTTGTTGGGAGAAGGCATTAGCATAAGTTTTGGGTTGTATCCTCATAACCTGGGTTTAATTTTTAACTTTGTACATTAAAACAGCTCTATTTTGCTGATATGTTGTGAAAAACCAACTGGAAAGAGAAGTAATAACATTCCTTTTCATGCAAGACAGGAATTTGATGTTGAGGTCGTGTCAGAAATCTTTCAACTTAGCACAAATCACTGAGCAGAAGACAAAAGGGGTCTTGTACCTAAGGGGGACGGGCACAGTGCTTTTAATTCTGTCAGAGAGAAAGTACGGCTATCTGTCTTTTGGAGCCTGTGGGTCTCAGAATAATGGAAAGATTCTCCTGACAAAAGGCAGTAGGATCATCATCCTTGCTTGGAAAAGGGAAATTTGCTCCACAGCATCTGGCCATGGTCATCAGGAACGTAGGAAGAACCATTCTGACCCAAGCTTCTACTTGTGTTTGTGAATCTTGTCAGGGATCCCGGCTGTTTCACTCACAAACATTCTAGACCAAAATTTAAATAAATCATTGTTTGTGCATGAGCTGGACCTTGGAGCAGCAGATGGTGGGTGAGCTCTTGTTTGCCTGCCCCAGGCCCCAGAGGGAGAACACAGGAATTTGGCCAATCATTCGTTTTCCATCTCCAAAATCTCATGTGATTATTGTGATTAATACATCTCTTCCTGCCATGTGTCCAATTAAAAAAATTTAAAGTGTTCCTAGTTTGGAAGAAGAGTCTGAAATCTGGATTTTCCATAAATTCTTTTGTGGCTGAAGGGAAAAGGCATTAGCATAAGTTTTGGGTTGTATCATCATAACCTGAGTTTAATTTTTTGTATATTAAAACAGCTCTATGTTGCTGATATCTTGTATAAAACCAGCTGAAGATTGTTTTCCTCTTTGTAATTTTTTTTGTCAGTTACTTTCAATGCATCTTTGGATGTGATCATTTCCTGTACGACCAGTGGTGCAAACACGATGGTGCTGGCCTGGAGAGAGAAATCAAAAGAGTGTCTGAAAGTGACACCCTTCCACATTGCCCAGGGCATTCATGCTTTTGATTACCACTCTCAGCTCAATATAATTGGTATGTAAAATAAATCATGGTAACTATGAGGGCCTCATAAATCGTGTGGGATGCCTATTTGTATGCAAGGAGCGTCTCTAGCTTTGCTTCATTGTTGGAGACACCAACTTGAGCAGCTCACATTTTATTGCCCGAGAATGTCTGGTAATGATGCATTATTATGTGCAGTGTATTTGAGCTACGTTAGAGGAAAAATATGAGAATGCACCCAATTCATTAATGAGTCTTTTTATTAGAATTGGTGGAGGGTGTAAAACAGCAGAGAGAAGGGAGGCAGTTCACGTAGCACCTGCTGTTCTGCCTTCTCCTAATGCCACCAAATGCTCCACCCAGACAGACGCGGTATGTTCATCATTGCTGCTACACACTCACAAAGACACACACAGGCATGCAGGCATATGCACACAAATGCGCACACATGCACATGAGCACACACACGTGCACAATGCACATACACGCAGACACACTCACATGCACACATGCATGCGCACCCGTGCACACACAAGCACTCTCATGTACACACATTTACACACACACAAGGGAGCTGCACAATGTAGGATGCTTGTTAACAACCTTTCAGAATCCAATCTCTGATGATTTTCGAAAATTTTCCAATTACCCCAGCTTTCATTTAGAGAAGTAGAGAAACTGATATCATAGGGGATAGTTCAGCTGAGGAAATATAAAGGTTCTTAGGCATTCACTATTTAAAACAATTTAGACATTCTGACAGCTGATCATTTGATATATGTATATGATGTTATTTCAAACATTATGAAAAATGAGGTGTAGCTGTATTGTTGAAAAATTAATACAGTAATGAGAACATACATGGCCTATAAAAATGGGTTGTATCAAGTCTCACTCAGTAATTAGCATCATATAAAGAGGACTGATGTCATCGGAAGGGCTGGCTCCCTGGATTCTCAGCAAGAATGGCTGATGGTCACAGGGAAAGACCCTTTGTGTGTGGACTCAGGAATATGCCAACATCAAACTTCCCAAGAGATTTATTCCAGAAGGCTGGAGGAATTGGTGAATTAATTCAGCAAGGACTCAAAGGTTGACCCTTTAATTAGTTGATTGACAGATTATCTTAATCTCTGTATCCTAATCACTACTTTATACTTGCTGTATTTCTGGAAAAATAAAAGTAAGTTCCACTCTGGAGTCAGCCCACTATACTACCATGTTTCCCCCCAAATAAGACACTGTCTTATATTTATTTTTTCTCAAGAAGGCGTACTAGGGCTTATTTTCAGGGGATGTCTTTCTCTCCACACCGAAATGCATGGCGTGGCTATGCAGTGTATCTGCATAGATATGCTGCATGCCCATCACTAGGTCTTTTTATCGGGGTAGGGATTATATTTAACAAATGCATAGAGATCCTGCTAGGGCTTACTTTTGGGGTAGGTCTTAGAGAGCTCCCTGAATATGACCAATTTGTGTCCAAAACCACTTTGTCCTACCACCAAAACAGGGCAAAAGTACATTTGTGCTACTCGTGTGTATTTACACATGCATTGCTTAATGGCGGGGATACACTTTGAGAAGCAGGTTGTAGGTGATTTCAGCATTTGCAAACATCTGGGTCTTCTCACCAAATGTAGACTGCAGAGCCCACTACCGCCCAGGCTGTGCGGCACAGCCGATTGCTCCCGGGGGCAAGTCTGAGGACGTGTCATGGCACAGCACACTGCAGGCAATGACAACAGTGTTACTTGTGTGTCTACACACAAAAACAGCACAGCCAAAATATGATCTATAGGCTTATGGGACCACCATGCACATTCTGTCTACCACTGACCAGAACGTCGTTAGGAGGTACATGACCCCACTTACCTATCTACGTGGTGTTGAAAATAATTTGTTCCTTTTTGCCTCTTAAATAATCTGTAAACTTTGAATATTGGTTTAGTTTTTCTTACTCCTGGGATAACTTTAACCCTGTCTACATTCCTGGGAAGGGAAAATGCAGGGAGTAGAAGAAAGGATTCTGTCCCTCCTGGTCGGGCTGCTGGTTGGTCCTTTGATGGGACTACATTGTCCCTTCTGCCTCACACGTACTCTTTCCCCTGTTCAAAATCCTTCCTCCCCATGCCGGGTGTATCGACTATCTCACTGACAGAGCTCAGGCCTGTGAGCCTGGTCTAGCTGGCCGATGGCAAGATTTTCTTTTCTTCCGGACGGGGGGGACGTTAATGTTTATCACATCAAGCCATAGGTATGTGATAAACTGGTTTCAAAAAGAAAATGCTGTGGGTTATTCATGCTATTAAAGAACATTTTTTTCTTTCTAATTCTTAGCAACTGCTGGCATTAATAATAAAGTTTGCCTTTGGAATCCCTACATGGTGTCTAAGCCAGTTGGTGTCCTTTGGGGTCACTCAGCCAGTGTCATAGCCGTCCAGTTCTTTGTGGAAAGGAAACAACTTTTCAGCTTTTCCAGAGATAAAGTAAGTAACTCTGTGGTTTTAATTTATTCAGTTCTGCTTTCACGTCTCTGCTCAATCCTATGCTCAGTCCTGAATTTCCCTGAGAGATAGTGCCAATTTTTAAAAATATACTGGTAAGTTACAATGTCTTTGGCAATCTATCTTTGGAAAAGATGTTGATTTGTCATTCTTTAACAATAGTCCTGGGCAAATGGACAAAGTGTTTCATTGAAATTTTGTTCAACTATAATGACTAAGCATAGCCAATTACCTATTATTACTTTTGTACTGAAGAATCTCGGTAAATGAGAAATTGAAGTAAATCTAAAGAATAGCAGGCAGATTCAGAACACTTCAGTTAGGGTGTCAGTTCATTTTGATAACAGTTTAGACACTGACGGGATATTTCAAATATGGTGGATGTGGGGCACCCGAGCCAGGCAGCCCAGGTTGAATCTTGCCATGCTATTTGCTACTTTTATCCACTCAGGCAAATTTCTCAGTTTCTAACAACCTAGTCTTATGTTCCTTGATAAAGTTGCAATTTTCCGTAACACCCAATTTAAAGACTCAGTTATTAGCATATGATAGATGTCAAGTTACTTGGCTTTGAAGAAAAGTGTAGGTAATGAGATTGTTGGGGATAGTCTGAGATGAATCTGAATTTTTATTCTCTTCTAAAATGTGTATGTGTGTGCACG